GCCCTCCTGCCTTTGATACAGAGGCTGCAGTGCGGGGGTGAAGAGGGTGTATCAGAGGTAGACGCGCAGGGGGTCAGGCAGCTCCTCTGGAACTGGTACCTGCAGGGAGCCTGCTTAAAATCCATTCTTTCTTCCGGGAGGAAGACAAACATGGCACAGGTCACAACAGCAGACCTATCACCTGCAGGTCACAACAGCAGACCTATCACCATCCATCCCTACTGTCCTGGAGAAAGGATTGAAAAGAAAGGCAAGAGAACCTCACCCCCTCTGTCTTCCCTTTTAAACTCCCTGTTAGCACTCACCTGTTTGGAAGCTCTTGGTTGCTTACTCATTGCTTTATAATGCCCTGGACTGCCTGAAAGTCCCTCCCCCTACCAAGGCTCAGCCAATCAGCAGAGGCTTCTAGAATGCAGACTTCAGTCACCGCACACACTCCGTAAAGGAGCAGGGGAGGAGAAAGGGGAAGTGGGAAAAAAAACATCCACCAACATCAGTCACAAACAAAAGCTCAGAACACAGCAAGAAATCCCCAAACACAACACACACTTCCCTCAAGAGTCCTGGATCTGCTTCTCCTTTACCTGGAGAACTCCCTCTCCAAAGCCTCACTCACAAACACAGGGGCTACGTCTAGACTGGCATGATTTTCCGGAAATACTTTTAACAGAAAAGGTTTTCCGTTAAAAGTATTTCTGGAAAAGCGCGTCTAGATTGGCGGTGCACTTTTGCGCAAAAGTAGGAACCCGGAACCATTTTGAAGAGGGCAAAAGGCCACCAGACCTTTCCGGGGGCGGGGCTGGAGCTCCGTTCAGACACGTGCTTAAAGGGGTCTCTCCCGACAGCCGTTTGTCTCCTGCTCCGTGCGTTGGGACCTCTGGCAGGGACTGACAGCCATAGCAGGTTTGGTGGTTGCCCTCTGACTTTTGGGGACACCACCCTTTTGCCCCCTTCTGCTTTTTCCTGATTTGGGTTTCCTGCTCTGTCTGCCATGGACCCGTGGGTGGCCATGTGCCTGCTCTGGCCCTGTCGGCCATTTTCGAGTGCCTGCAGCTCGTGCTCCAGGCCGGTGCCCTCGTGTTCCACGACCAGGAGTCAGAGATCGCCTTTGACTCCCTCACCAGGGAGGCCATGGCTTCCCTGTGGCATCAGCACCCCACCGTGGCGAGGCCAGTCTGGAGACTGGAGTATGGACTGGTGGGACCGGCTGGTCATCGGGCAATGGGACGACCAGCAATGGCTCCGGAATTTCCGCATGTGAAAGCGGA